ACCTGGGGGGAGTGAGTGACCCATGGCGGAGAGAGGGGGGCTGTCTTGGCTGGGCAGATATGGAGAGAACAGACTGAGTCAAGGATTGGGGGTTCAGGAGTCTGTGAACCCCCTCCCCCAAGAGATCTAAAACTGCCTGCCCTGACTCCTATGTCCGTATCGAACCCGGGCTATGCTGTATCTCTGAGAAGCAATAAACCCTCCCTATTCTACTGGCTGGCAGAGTCGCATCTTGCTGTGGACAGGGGTGCAGGGTTGGGGGTCCCCGACACGCCGTCACAGAAAGCTAATGTCATATTGAGGTGCACTAGGAGGAGCATTGCCAGCAGACCTAGGGAAGTGATTATTCCTTTATTTGACACTGGTGAGGCCACATGAGGAGTACTGCCTCCATTGCTGGGTCCCCTGTTACAGAAAAGATGTGGCTGCATTGGAGAGGGGCCAGCGGAGGGTAACAAAAAGTGACGTGGGAGCTGGAGCACATGACTTACAAGGAGAGGCTGAGGGATTTGGGTTTGTTTAGTCTGCAGAAGAGAAGAGTGAGGGGGGATTTGAGAGCAGCCTTTACCTACCAGAAGGAGGGTTCCAAAGAGGCTGGAGAGAGGCTGTTCTCAGTAGTGACGGGTGGCAGAACAAGGAGAAATGGTCTCAAGTTGCAGCGGGGGAGGTCTAGGTTGGATATTAGGAAAAACTATTTCACTAGGCGGGTGGGGAAGCGCTGGGCTGGGTTCCCTAGGGAGGGGGTGGAATCTCCGTCCCTAGAGGTTTTAAGTCCTGGCTTGACAAAGCCCTGGCTGCGATGATTTAGTTCAGGTTGGTCCTGCCTTGGGCAGGGGCTGGACCTGATGACTCCTGAGGTCTCTTCCAGCCCTGGGATTCTATGATTCTATGATCTCTGTTGGTCCCTGGCCATGTCTGTAGATGGGGCCATCTGTGAAGCTGAGCAGAGCCCCACTGTGAACCTCAGGGACCTCACGCCCTTCTGCCTACAGGCAGATTGGGTGGGGCAGAAATCCTAGAGAGGAGCTCTCCCTGCTCAGTGGGCTCTGGACAAGGGGGCTCTCACCTCCTCAAGGAAGGGAGGAGCAGGCGGTAAGGAGGGGGAATCCCAGGCCCTAATAACAACGCCTCCCTCTTCTCATCAGTTGAATGCAAAGTGCTTTGTGCAGGGGGCAGGCTCAGGAGCCCCAGTTTACACATGGGGAAACTGAGGCACAGAGCATTACTGTGACTTGCCCAAGATCACCCAGCTGGATTAGAGCCCAAGTCCCCTAAGGCTTAGTCCCGTACGTTCTCTACTAGCCCATTGCTGTCTCAGACAGTGCTTAGAAGGACGGGCTCATGGTCAAGTTGACTTCTCATGAAGAGGAAGACCGGGGTCATCAGGACAGTTTGGTGGCCACGATGACCAGAGCGGGGATCACCAGCTGCTGGTTTGTGAGAGGGGGGATCAGGAAAGGGGGCAGATGGCTCTGATAATCCTGTCCTGGCTCTTACCCTTCACCCCAGCACTGAGTGGGACCCACTTTGGGATTTGTGTGTCGCATATTTAACTAAAAGAGCTTTTCTCCCCACTGTGTCTCTGGCATTTGAGTTAAATGGGCACTCACAAAAGTGAAAAGGACAAAGCCAAAAGGCCAAACTCTGCTCCCTGTTACACCGAGACAAATCTAAAGAGCAGTCAGGAGCGTGACTCAGGATTTACGCTGGTGGAAATGGGAGCAGATGCCGGATCAAATCATTTGCAAACCTTTGGTGGAAAAACAACAAGGTGCCCCGCAAGGCAGCGAGGTCCCCTCTGCACAGGGTGTGTGATGCTGTCAGGCCAGTCATCTGCGAAGTCACCCCCGGGGCTTCCAGGGAGGGCAGAGTGGGCGAGACCCCTGTTTCTGATCCACTTTTGAAAAAGAGAAAAAAACCAACTCCTTTTTCAGCTTTCTCCAAGCACTGCAAAGGAACAAAAAGGGAAGGAACCTAACTGCCTTCCCCCTCACTCCGGGAAAAACATCACATGAAGCAGCCGAGTCCTCATCAGCCAGTAAGGGAGTTGGCATGTCTCACTGTGGGGAGGGTTCGGAGCCCAGTCCGTGTCCCTAGGTCCTCCTGAGGTTCTCCAGATGGTTCAGCATCTGCTCCAGGCCCCCTCGGATCTCTCAGCTGTTCAGGTGTCTTCCTCTCTGAAGCCGAGGTTAGCAGGCTGGAGTGTGCCCTTCTGGCTCAGCTGTTAGCTCCCACTGGGCTTCCGGCCACACAAGCAGGTGTCTAATGACTCAGCAAAGCCAAAACACCAAGAGGCTGTCCCTGAGATAAGACCTTCTGTGCGTACGAGCACAGCCAGTGCGTGCTGTGTGTGTGTGTGCCAAGGGGTAGGTATCTGGGAATTCTTTGTGTGGGTGTGTCCCAGCCAGCTACTCAGTGTGTGTGCGCGTGCACGCACTATGCATGCCAAACAGAGACCATGCAACGAGGGGAGTACACTGTTGTGCTTCTATGAAGAGCTCCTGCATATGTGTGTGTGTGTGTGTGTGTGTGTGTGTGTACGTGTGCCCCAGACAGAGCCACATTGTTTGCACACCTGTGCACCACAGCCCTCCGGTGAGGGCGCACACAGCTTCACACAAAACGAATCAGTTTGCACCGGCACACGTTTGGAGTCCAAGGCAGCTGAGCCTGAGTTCCCACCCTGTGCAACACCGAGGGCCCTCGTTTCTGACATGGCAACAACCACATGAGCAGTGTAGATCTTTTAGTAACTGCGTTTGCATTGCTTTGCGCTGTATTGTTTGCTTTAGAATTTATCGTATTTAAGGTTTAAATTGTATAGTCCTTGTTCTTAAGGCTTGTGTGACAGGGCGCCTGCCCTGCACTGGCCCTTTTAGACCAGGACTCAAGCCCCGAGCCAGGGCTAGGAACAGAGAGGCCAGCTGAGGCTGTTTGGGCTAGGGAGAGCCCAGCTGACAGCTATAAATGGAGAAGCACAGTTTGCTTAGAGGGGAGCCAGTGGAGGGCTGATTGCAGAGGAAGCAGGAGGTCCTTGGAGGGAGACAGGCTGGGGCTAGCCAGCAAAGGCTGGAAGAGGGTCAGCCAAGACTCCCCCGGCTAAGGGCTGGAGACAAAGCCCCGGGTTTGTGGGCGGATCATGAGGCCGACTAGGTAAGCAGAGCCATTGAGACAAATGCCAATGATGAGCAACCCGTACAGACTGTAACTTGCCCTGAGATGGGCTAGATGAGGACAGTCAGGGGGCACTGAGGTATGGTAGGGGGCTTGCACCCTGACAGCTTGTAACTGTATTAACTGCTTGAAGCTTGCGATAAATAAGGACGCTTTGAAGTGTATTGATTTCCCTTGGATCTAAAGTCAAACCACATGACAGTGTGAAGCACTGGGATGGGTTCCCTAGGGAGGTGGTGGAGTCTCCATCCCTAGAGGTTTTTAAGTCTCGGCTTGACAAAGCCCTGGCTGGGGTGATTTTGTTGGGCTTGGTCCTGCCTTGGGCAGGGGGCTGGACTTGATGACCTCCTGAGGTCTCTTCCAGCCCTGAGATTCTATGATTGTTGCAACCCCTGTATTATGTTTGCAAGAAACTGTGTACCAAGTGAGGTGTCTATAAAAAGTTTGAGTTGCTGGCTCTATTTATGCCCTTTGTATGCAAGTACAATTCTTGTACAGCCTCTTCCTGACTTACGAACCGGTTACAGACCAAGCAATCGGTCATAAGTTGGTTTGTTCGTAAGTCGGACCCCATAGAGTTACACGCGACCGCACTGTTCATAAGTGTGGATCACATTCGTAACTTGAGGTCTGCCATTTATGACAGCTTTGGTTGTAACTGCAAACGGTTGTAAGTCGACCGTTCGCAACTCAGGGACTGGGTGTATTTGAAGTGACGAGTATTGGCTGTGTCCTAATCTTTCGAATGTTAGTGCCAGGAGTAATCCCCACAGGGCAGCCACTGGAAAAGGCTGATCAGGGTGATTGGCCCAACAAGAAACAGTCAACGGACAATGAAGCATGGAAGGGACTAACTGCACTAAATTAACTTTCCTGAAAACCTCCAGTCTGGAACGTGGGCCATGGGGTCCCCCAGCAAAGAACTGAGTCCGGCATGGACAGGGGACTTGCTCACGTAACAAACTCGGATAGCTGAGAACAGTGGGAGTCCCTACGCATGGCCGAGGATTTATAAAGGGTCCTGACAATCCCTCCATTTTGTCTTCAGTCCTGCTTCTCACCTCTGGAGGAACTTTACTACAAGCTGCAGCTCTGCGCACGGGACTCAAATACCCACCCAATGCAGATGCACTCCAGAGACTTGACTTAAGCCAGCTGTTTATTCCATCACTGCTACAAGCCTGCCCCAAGCGCTTTGGAATCGGTGTATGTATTTCATTCCTTTAACTTCTTTCTTTCTGATGTGGCGGCCATTTTTATTTTAATGAAGCGGGGGATATTTAAATCCCCCACTTCATTGACTATGTCGGGTAGTCTAATTTACATGCCTCTGTTGACAGAGGTGTGTAGTCTAGACAAACCCTAACAAGGCATTCAATGTTAGATTCTAAAGGATTGACAACAGTGTGCTTTCTGGGTTAGGACTGAGGTATGCACTGAGGCTTTGTCTACACTGCAGGGTTTTTGCGCAAGAAGCTTTTTGCAGAAGAGATCTTTCACAAAAAATTCTTGCACAAAAGCACGTCCACAGCTCAAAGTGTATCGCAAAGGTGATGTGCTTTGTTGCAAGAGAGTGTCCACACTGCATGGACTCTTGCGCAAGAAAGTTCTGATGGTCATTCACAGAATGGCCATCAGAGCACCTGTGCTTTTTGTGATTGGCTCTTTTTGCGCAAGAAACCCCTGTTGAGCGGCCACACACGCCTTCTGGTGCAAGAACTCTTGTGCAAAAAGGAGTTATGCCTTGTAGAAGGCATGAAGCCCTCTGTTCTGTCGATTGACTGTAGATTTTCTTGTGCAAAAACGTGCTTGAGGTGTGGACGCTCTGCGGGTTTTTGCACAAAACCAGCTGTTTTTGTGCAAAACCCCCGGAGTATAGATATAGCCTCACATGGCAATGAGGTTGGTCCTTTGGGATCAGAAGAGCCTTTTTACTTGGCAAGATAGGAGGTTATGAAAACCAATCTGCATAAGGAGGGGTGCACACAAGAGAACTGGAGGACCCGAGGGGATTGCTTGGGGGAACTTGAGGTGCAGAGCATTAGCCCCACACTTTCTCTGCTAGCCCATGCTGTCATAATGGTGCTCAGCCTTCACCCACACATCCGGGGGAGGGGGGAGCACAGTGGCACCTCACCACCAGTGTGGCGAACAGCAGTGCTCTTTGGTGTCTTGAGGACCCCAGTTCTGAGCTGCAAGGAGTCCTGTCTCTTAAGCAATTTGCCCTGCATTGATATACTCAGCCGTGTCCCCCCCAGGGGGCATTCCCGCCAGAGCGGGGGAGGGGGACTCCTGTGGCTTACTGAAGAGCCGCTTTTTCACAAATCCACCGGTAGCGCATTTGGCAGGGCTCGTCGTTCCACTTGCCGTCCTCGTTCAGGTGGGCACAGTCCTCTTCTCGGATGTGAAAACTGTACATGTTATTGGGCTCCCCGGGGGCCCAAAGCCTGCAAGGGAAGGAAGAGAAGAGCCCTCAAGCTACCGGGCCACCAGTTTCAGCTGAGCTGCTCCCACCTATGTGCTGCCTGGTAAACCCATAACCTACAGCAGCCTCAGGGTTGCTCTAAGTTATGTGCAGGCCCCTGCTGGAATGTGGCAGCCAGAAACAGCCGAAGCCCAGCCACATGCTGGCCCTGCCCCTTTGCATGGGACTTTTCTGCACTTTTCCAGGCCTTGGAGCTACCGAGGTGGAAAGTGCCTGCAGGAGCTCGGGCAGCCAGGGAGGGCTGGGGCAGGAAAGGGAGAGCAGAGGATCACCCCTTGCTTACGTAAATGCTGTGGTCGTGTTGTCCACCCAGTGCCAGACGCCTTCGGTGCCTTGGTCAGTGAAGCCAATCCAGTGACGAACAGAATCAGCTTTGCTGGCTAAGTAATTCTAGAGAGGAGACAACAGTATTGGATGGTTAGCCCTGGAGCACAAGGTAGGCCTTGTGCCGGCCTTCTGAGTGGGTGCATTTACCCTTCTGCAAGCTGCGGTGGGAGCTGCTGGGGGGGTTGTACCTGCTCCATTTGGTCGTTGATCACCACCAGGTCAGCATTCTGGCTCTGACAGGAGGCTCGGGCTGCCTGCCAGCGCTGGGTAGTGGAGGAGAAAAGGTAGCACCTCCTATGGAACTGCTCCCACCCGGGCTGGCACCCGGCAGTGCCTGCCGGAGAGAACACAGCAGGGCTGGCACGTGACGGGAGAGAAATGGGGCGGGAGGGGCTGCATAAACCAAGCGAATGCCTCTGACAGCTGCCGGGTACCACAGGAACTTCCTTCTCCCAAGTCCAGCCCCTACAAAGCATTTCCAGCAGGGCTCAGCTGGGAGGTCACTATTATTCCTCTGTTTTATACTTCTGCCAAAAGGGGAGGCAATTCCAAGGAACTCCCTGGTAAAACTAGTGACTATTTCCTCTCAGTGCCTGCCCGCAGGCTGTTACAGCCATAGCCAATGGGAAGAGAGGGATGGACAGACTGAAATGATAGAGACATTGATGACTATGCAGCTTGAAACATTCAACTGAATCTTTCAGCACAATCCACTATGCAATTCCAAGAGAAGAGCGCCCCCTAGGATAGCGCTGGGTGTTGTGCTTAGCACTAGCCGTGAGGGAAGGGCGCCCCCTAGGATGGCGCTAGGTGTTGCCGTAGCACTGGCCGCGAGGGAAGAGCGCCCCCTAGGATGGTGCTGGGTGTTGTGGTAGCACTGGCCGCGAGGGAAGAGCGCCCCCTAGGATGGCGCTGGGTGTTGCGGTAGCACTGACCTGGAGGGAAGAGCGCCCCCTAGGATGGCGCTGGGTGTTGCGGTAGCACTGACCACGAGGGAAGAGTGCCCCCTCGGATGGCGCTGGGTGTTGCTGAAGAGCCCCCAGCCCATTCCTTGCAGCCCAGTGCCCCCACACTGCATCTGGGAGCTGGGGCGAGCATGGTGTCAGAGGCGATAGCGTCTCATAGGTAACTGCCCCAGTGAATCTGACTGCCCCCGATGTTCGCGAGGGGCTGAGAATTAGTCAGGGCTATTATCTGCATTGCTACAGCCCCCGCCGATTGGGCCCCTTGTGCCAGGCGCTGCACAGACCCAGGACAGAAAGATGGTTCCTGCTGTGAGGAGCCGACAATCTGGCGTGTCTCTCACCGTTCCCTTTCTGGGCGGCTTCCAGGATCCTATAGGTCTCAGCTCTGATGTCATCTCGGTCGCGTTTCGCTTTGGCCAGGTCTGTGGACACTGAAAACACAACACGCCGCCATGCACGGCCATGGGGTTGCAGCCCTTTCAACAGTGTGGGAGCCTCCCGTGGTGCTCACCTTGCTCTGTGTGTCCGAAGCTGCCAGAAGCCAGCCTGAACCACCGGTGTGCAGCTCGGGGCTCGGCCTGGCATGTCTGTGCACAGATCAGAAACCCCCCAGATTGGGGGCCTGGCTGTCACCCTGAAACGGGTCCCTTTCCCAGCAGCATGAGGCATCGAGCTTGTTACAGTCGGTCTGATACAGTCAGTAGGGACTGGAGACCCGGCCGACACTGCAGCTAGACCCAACCTTTCACCAGGGTCACATTTATTCAGCTAAACCCTGCTCCCCCTCTCTCCCCAATCCCCAACAGGAGCACTGCCCCTCCCCCTCCATCTGCCCTGCTCTCAGATCCCTGCCCCGGCCCCCCATCAACCTCAGTGCATTCTACTTGGGCCTGCTCCTTTGGCTCAGCCCTGGAATCTACCTCCCTCCCCTCAACTCCTAAAGGCCAGACCTGGAACACCTGGGGGTGAAAATCCTGGGCAGTAAAGGGTCCCTGGTGCACAAGGTGGGGTCCCCATGAGAATGGGGTCCCTGGTGCACAAGGAGCCCTGAGTGCAGGCTCCAGGCATATTGGCCGTGTCCCCACTGGGGGGTCCCCAAGGATGGGGCTTGGCCCTGGGTTTCCCACCCACAAAGCCAGCTTACTCAGGCTGGATGAAGAGTGGGAGGGAGCCTAGATTTCCATGGCCACCCAGGGGTGGGATTCTCCAGCCCCATCTCAGCTTCCGGCTGACGTTCACGGGTCCCCTTCCTCCCCCTGAGCCCTGTGTCACACCCTGCCGGCCCTCACCTTCCTCCCTCAGCGTGGCCTGGTCCGACTGCAGCCTCTTCAGTGACTCATCCAGCTCCTCCTCTGAGAGACACACAGACCCCATCACATTCCTGGGACCGGAGCAGGGATGGGGCCAGGGAATGGGAGGGCAGGGCAAAGGGGTGAGACAAGAGGGACACTGGGGGGCTATAAGGGGGTGTCGGGCTGGGAGGGCTCCAGTACGTACCGGTGCTGCGCATGGCGGATTGATTCACATGAAGCATCTCCAGTTGCTTCATCACGTCGGAGGCTGGAAGAGAAAGAGCTCAGTGAACTAAGACCCATGTGTCCTGCCCCATCCTTGTCTCATGGGGCAGGGCTGTGTTCCCCAGCAGAGGAGGCCCCAGGGGCTTCCTTCTCTGGAAAAGGCTGAACAGAGGTGGATTTGCATTCACCAGCCTCCCGCCCCATCTCTTATGGTCAGTGAGGCTCCAGAAGGGAGTGAATTGCCCCAGACTAGCTGTAAGGTGAGGTCGAACTCAGGGCTCCCTCACTTCCTGTCCTGTGCTCTTTCCTCCAGAGCCAGGGGACAGCCTCGGGCAGGGATGGCCAACCTAAACCTGAGAAGGAGCCAGGATTTACCAATGCATGTGGCCAAAGAGCAACACTTATATGTCACCAGCCCCGATCCTCTCCCCACCACCACTCTCAGCACATCGCACCCGCTGACAGCCCCGCACGTCAGCGCCTCCTTCTCCTTTTCCTCCTGTGCGCTGGGATCAGCTCTTTCTCAGTGGGAGACACTGGAGGGGGGAAGTGGGGATGTGCCAGGCTCAGTGGAGAGGGTAGGAAGTGGCAGGATCCAGGGGGGAGGGGAGACAGCACCTAGGGCAGAGCTGGGGATTGAACAGTGAGCACCCTCCGGCCCAGTGGAAAGTTGGCACCTGTAGCTTCAGCTCTGGATTTGGGCCCTATGCAAGGAGCCGCATATTAACTTCTGAAGAACCGCATGTGGCTCTGGAGCCACAGGTTGGCCACCCCTGGCCTGGGGGACTGCTGTGAGTGAGATTCGGGAGGGTCCCCCCAGACTAGTCACTAAAGGGGCGTCTCATTACGAGCGCCCTTCGCAAGTGGAACGCCCTGAAACGTTGAGTGACGAGGCGGAGACTCAGCAGAGCTGGGTGGGCTGGCCCTGGAATGTGGCCCCTCGACTGAAAAGGCAACGATTGAAAACATCAGCTGCTTCGTATGCAAAGTGAAGGATTTCACTTCCTAATGAATCCAGCCCAGCTCTGCTAGTCACTGCCTGGTCCTATCTCAGGCAGCGTGGTCATCGGCTCCGAAGTCCTGCCAGCTTCTCTGAGAGAATCTTCTTTGATACGGACGCTAGGGCAGCAGTATGGGACACCTGACACACGACAGCTGGCTGGTGTCAGAGACCCAGCCACCGCACAGACACCCATCTCCTAATGCACAGCTTTGGCTCAGGACAGAACTTCATGGAGGCCCTGAAGGCCTTCAGTCAGCTCCCTGCTGTCCAAGTCACAGGAAGAGAAATGACCAGCCCTCTAGCCTAGCAAATTTTGCACTAGTGTCTGCATGCCCCAGTGCAAATCAAGTGTCGACTCATGGCACGGGGCTTGCACAATTCCCCAGCGTGAGCCCTGCTTAGTGCAATGCCGACAGATGGAACCGAATCTAGCACCTCTGGAGCTTAGTGCCGGAGCGTCTACCACCCGGGCTAAAAGCCAGCTGCCGGTCAGCTAAGGCTGTAGAGTGACTCATTAGCCTCTAAGTCAGGGGTGGGCAATAATTTTTGCAGAGGGGCCATTTAATGAATTTTGATACTGGAAGGGGCGGGGCTAGGGCAGGAGGGGCGGATCTGGGGACTAGCCGTCCCCCAGAGTTGTCTGGGGCTGGAGGCTTTGAATCAAAAACACAGCTAAGGACTCGCGGCTCTTGGCCCTGCCGCTGCCGTGTTACCTGGCAGCCGCCCAGGGTTGCTGTGGCTATTTAAAGGGCTCATGGCTCCGCCCCCTGCTGTGGTAGCACCGCGACTGGGAGCCTCGAGCCATTTCAATAGGATCCTGCTGCCTGAGCCGCCGCCTGGAAATTCGATGGCACAGGCAACAGGATATAAATAGAAACGGCCTGATGCCAACCACGGGCTGGATCAAAGCGTTAGCTGGGCCTTGCCCAGCCCTGCTCTAAGTGGTCCAGGTGGGACAGCGCCCTAACCCCAGCAGTGTGTGTGTTACACCAGCAAGGCCTCAGATTTTGCCTTGGGCCACAGGGGTCAGAACAGTAAAACCAACACAGGGACCCCAGGGCTCTGGAGCTGAGTTTCTGCTGCCACGTGGCTGTGCAGCTTCCCGTTAAGCTGCAGGGCTGCAGCAGGGAGAGATATCTCTTCCCAAGGTTGCTGCAGCTGGCGAGAGTGGGGGGGGCTCCCCTCACCCTGGCTCTGAGAGGGGCCCCTCTTTGCTGCCCCCTTTGCTGGCTGGGGCAGCTCTGTGCTGGGGCCGGTGGGGAAGCGGCCAGTGCCGTAGGCCCAGCTCCTAGGCAGGGGGACCCCAAGGCTCCGTGCGCTGACTCCTCCCTTCAGGGGTGGGCAGCACGTGTGCTGTGCCACGGAGCCTCAGCCAGACCTGCCGGCCACTTCCGGGGTGCAGCCTGAGCCCCACGACAGGCACACAGGCAGCCTGCCTTAGTGTCATTGCCCAGGTAAGTCCAAGCCCCAACAGCCCGCAATACCCTGAGCCCCCCCAGCCCTGAGCCCCTCTCCAAACCTGGAGCCCCCGTCCTGCAAGACCCTCGGAGCCAGACCCACCCCAGAGCCTGCACCCACAGCTACAGCCCTTGCTCCCCAACCCTCTGCCCCAGCCCTGAGCCCCTCCCACACTCAGAACCCCGTGGCCCCATTCCCGCCACATGACTTTTGTGATGTGCACCAATATGAAGATGACGTGTTGCACAGCCCCTCTGCGTGGCGCCTCCCCACTGCACTGGTGCACATCACAAAATTCATTCCACTCAGGGGTGGGAACGGGCAGGGGGTGGAGGGAACCCTGCCCAGGAATCAGCTGAATGGTTACCGTTGGCTCCCAGCAGGGACTGATCAGTCCGCATCCGCTCCAGCTCCTTGGACAGTGCTGCATCTAGAAAGAGGGACAGACGCAAGCCATTGGTTATATGTAGTTCGGATTCATGGCCCAGGGAGGACTGCTGCTCTACTGTTTTCACAATCTCTCCCCCCGGCTTTGTGGCTGGAGGAGACAATCTCTCTGAACGGTCCCTCCCTGGCACAGTTCGGCCAACCCCAAACGTTAAAAAAATCATGAGACCGTCTGAAAGACCATGAGATGTGTAACAAGCAATACAGGTTGGGTTCCTTTTCTTAGCCCTCTGGTTCCGGAGTGGGAACGTCCCTTTCTTTGGCTTCTCTCTGCAACTAGAAACCGTCTCTCTTTTGTGAATGAAAGCTGAGAGTCTCGCCTGATCCCATGACTCCAGGAGCTGGGGCTTTAATCCAGCCACCCAGAGTTGGGAACGCTGGGCCAGCTGTGTATAATGATTCCCACCAGGGGTCCTCGGCAGGGTTTAAATCGCAGAGCCTTGCAGCGAAGATCTGTGACCACTGGAGCGAAAGGAGTAACTCCGTTAGCTGGCAGCAGTAGCTGGCCTGTTGTTCTGGGTGAGCCGCCACTAGAGGGGTCCCAACACAATCTGAACTCACTTTTGTCGCATTTGGGGACATGTTCCAGCATCAAACTTCAGTGTATCCCTGCTCAGGGCGTGGGTCTTGGGTAAGGCCCCTCCAGGGACACCGACTTTATTATTTCCCCAAGGGTTCTGGACTCTGCGCCAGGTCCTATCCCTGCTCCACCCCTTTCCTCAAACCCCTGCCCCACCTCTTCCCATCCCCACCCCCCAGTCTGCCTCTTCCCACCGCTGCTCTGCCCCGTCCTGCCCCCATTCCGCTTCTCCCCCACTTCTTCCTGCCCCACTCTTCCCCTACCCCTCTCTGCCTCCTGGACAGGATGGTGGTGGGTGGGAGGTGCTGCAAGGGAAGGGGAAGAGCTGATCATGGGGTGCTGCTGGTGGGTGCTGAGCACCCAGTGTTTTCAGTTGGGTGCTCCAGTCCTGGCACCCACCGAGTCGGCACCTATCTGCCCCACTGCCGGGAGCTGGACAGGGGAAGCTGGGTTAAGGAGCCTTGTGTTACATAGTGGCACTAGGGCATAGAGAAGTGCATTGTGGGGGATCAGGGCATCTGATGCTGGCCAGAGACAGGCCCAGGCTGGGAGGGACCTGGCCGTGATCTGAGGCCACGGAGAGTTTGACCGTTGAATGGAGCCAGGACGTCACCCTGGGCTTTTCCACTGGGCCTGCTTGTGCGTCACGGTGCGAAACATGCCCCAGGATACTTACACTTTGCAATCACCACGAGCAGGAGCACGGCCCACAGCACGAACGACAGGGCCTGCAGGGCATACAGGATTAATAGGGACCTGGCCGGCCCCGTCAGGCCCCGAGCGCAGGGCAGACAGTCACTCCCTGGAAGGGATAGGCAGAGACCCGGGTAGAGCGGGAGGGCGCGCTGTATTA